AGCAGGAAACAGGACAGAGCTCCACAGCCATTACTACTAATTTTTTACAAAACTCTTCATGGCACCTGCTCAAGCACTGCCTACCTCATTTTCATGAGGGTCAGATTCTAGCAAGTATTTTAAAACAGAAACAGAAATTTTGTGCAGAGGCTCAGTCTACTTAAATCATTCATGCTTGATTTGGCTACTGTTGTACTATGACTGAGCAAAAACATCATGATGGCTTTCATTAATTAGCAAACTCTACCACAAATCCAGAAACAAAGAGATACATTGCATGGCATTTGTTTTAGAACAAATGGACCTCTTATAAACATGTTGTATTTCATCAAGTTAACTAGATCTCAGAAAGGGCAGATGTACTACTGCAGTGGTTCCAAACCCAGAGATAACAGAAAACTCTTACACTTGTTTGAGTGTAAAGAAGTCTGCCAGTTAAACAAAGGAACCAACAGAAATCCAAGCAGTGCTCACCACAACAGGTTATTTGCATACTACTACTGCCTGAAGGCCTGCAAACACTGAGGACCACTGTCACCAGCAAATCTGCACAGAAGAAGAGTTAGGATGGTTATTTACCATGCATCCACCTAGGAAGACTTGAATATGATCCACACAGACACTCAGGTAGGATCTTAAATGTGGACTTGCTGGTTACTAGTCCCCGGTACTGTTTCACAATCAGCCAAGGCAGAGATGTATTCAACCACTGGTAGGCTCTGTGGTTTATTTTCATGAAATACATGCCAGATTTCTGCTCTCCCACCCTGCTCCAGTGACGTTTACTCACCTTGTCACTTAACTCAGGGAAATAAATACTCTCGTAAGGGAATGACTGATCATCTACTATATGCCAGTGGAGAACATTGAACTTGTTAAAAGCCATGGCATCCTGTAACAAATAATGCAATACAGTCTCGTTAAGCACTTCATTCTCATAGAAATTCTATGCAAAAAGGTGGTCTTGTCCCAGTGTATCCTGCATGCCTATAGCAATAACAAAAAAAACCCCAAAACTCTAAAGAAAATGCATGCCATGTTTCACTGAATCCTAGAAGCATACAAAAAAAAACACACACCAGCCTTTTCATATTAATACTCCATCCTCTGCCATCTATTTGCATCACTCCTGTCAGTAAGCTCTTGATCTGATCACGCTACACTGGCTGGTAGAAAGGGAACTGCTATAAATGCTTATGAATTTCTTCTACTTCAGAACATATTTGGGTAATTCTCTATGCACCATCAGCTATTTCAGCTTACAGAAAAGCTTATACTTTTCTACATAAATACTTTGGACTTCAAAACTAAACAGCGTGAAAGAGTTTCTTATTTAGTACATCCCTACTTGCTAGTGACTTCTACAGAATCCATTTCAATTGTATGCAAAATAAACCATACATTTTTATCACAGATTATGGTGTTCCCCTTATGTTTTCGGTCATTACTGTCAGTACTTCCCTTTTTCAAACTTGAAGGTAACCAAGATAAATGTTAACTCACTTATTTTAGAATTATGACTCCAGATGGACAGTTACATACATACCCCAAGTTATGCAAATTTGTCAGTCACTGGAAGTGTTGTGTGCTGCAAGCAGATGGAGTTAACTGCTCTCTACATTGTTCAGGACTGAGTAAATGCAACACAGTTGCTTCCAATCTCTTGCCACAATACCGTTATTTTTACCCCTTCTCCTTTCTTTTTTTCATCAAGCTGTGTTTAAAGAAGTGACAAAATCTCTTCAGGAACTCCCACCAAATCCAAAGGAAGATTTATACCTTGTCCATTCTCTGTTTTATGAGACAGCAGAAGTTTTAATTATCACACATCTTCTTGCACTTCTACCAAATATCATCTTTGCACATAGAAAATTACATCTCCTGACCTTCATCTCAGTCACATTTTCCTCAAGGACAATGCCCTTCCCTGAAATACAGCACAGCAGCTGAACACAAAGAAATGTACTTGAACTTCTGCCTTAAATATGTAATTACCTTCACCACTGGTGAAAGGATTACTGCTGCTTTTCATTAGGTTAGCCTGAATTCAAGCAGGCACAGAGGTGGGAGGAAAAGCACACTTGTTCTTAAACAAGCAAAATGTCATAAAACGAAGCTCTAGGAGAGTATTAGAGCCACAGACATAATTCAAGGAAAGAAAACAAAATAGCAACAGTTACAGAAACATGAAAAGTGGTTAAAATTTAAGTCTTAAAGGTCAAGTTACTCTTTGGACATTTTTGTCACTTTTAGAAAAGACAACAAATATTGACACGAGTAACTACTCAAGTCTTTGAAGCACCCTCAGTTGTAAATGATACACTACACAAAAACTACTTGCTGAACAGGGACTGATATTAAAGGTAAATACAAGTAGTAAATACCCATGGAGGGGCAAGTTCTGAAAACAGTTCAAGGAGGACCTCAGAAATGAAGACTGGTTTTACCTGCACTCTCTTCCTGCCCATCTTAAGCCTTGTCTGCAAAGTTCCACAGCATGAAAAAGAAATTTCTAACACTATTTCATCTTAGAAAAGCATGATGGAGACAAGACAGGAAACTGCATGTTCCTCCACTCAAAAGCTCCTCCATTTCAACACATCAAATAAGCCCTGCTACAAGGATTTCAACAGCAGAAAATGGGAGTACAAAACAGAAAAACCCATAGCATTGGCTGCTATGATTATACAAATTCATCACCTTCACATCAAGGCAGGAGTATACAATTCTTACTGTGCTTACTTGAGCTTTTTGGAGAAAGTTTTGTTTGTTCGTTGCTTGTATGTTTTGTTCTGTTTTCTTTTCAAAGGGACATGGTGAAAGAAACCAGTAGTTTCCAACAAACATTTCCAGTTTTCCCCTTGCTCAATACTAAATTGCTGGCTTGCTCTTACCTGCCTAAGAAAAGACTACCAAAGCCTAGTTATTGAAAAGACTGGGATTTTCCAGCAACTACTGGCACCAAAGCCAGGACTTGCAAGGTCTCTCCTGTATTGCTTAATGATAGTCAGATGTCTCAAAACATGCTTCCATGAAATATGTGAGCTGGTTTAGGCAACAGAAAATACAGAAAACCCAAGGTACGACAAATCCCAGCTTCCTTTACAGACTCATTAATCATTGTGACTCCCCACTTAGTTCCTCTCCAGTGTATGTTCTGACCTTGACTTAGCAAAATTCACTGTCCTTTTAGAGGTCAGCCAGAGCAGTAGTTCTCCTTTCATACCAGCTCCAGTTGCTACCTACTTCACGGGGAAAAAAAAAAATCACAAAAAAAGCCTTCATTATTAATGATACAAAACTGCCCACTTACCAGATTCGTAAGAATAGCTTTCAATGGCAAATAATGCCTTGAAGTGTCTAGTAAGATTCCTCTATGAGCAAATCTTGGGAAGTCATCGATTTCGGATTCATTGACAAGAAACTATGAGAATGAGATTTAAAAAATCAGAATTCCTATTTTATATTCATAATTTCAAACAGAAAATACTTTTCAGTTTAACAGCTTTCCAAGGATCATTTTCTGAAAAAAAAAAAAAAAACCAAAACAACCAACCAACCAACACCCAAACCAAATTACTGAAACTAGTAGAGCTGCTGCTTCTACATAAGCACCTAATAAAGAATGTGGTTGTCTTATCAAGGACTGTAGTTTTAGTTAACAGCTATACTTACGCTTCCATAGTCATCTTCATGAACCAACTGGCTGAAGGTTTCCAAACCTAGAAAAAAAATCCAAGAAAGGGATCTGGAGTGCAACCCAGTACTTGTCCTTAAAGTTTCAGTTAACAACAGAACCATAACTATTTACAGGCATTCAAACAGCTAGAAACTCAGCCATAAAGCATTCTTTGTTTCTCTTGATCAGCTTCCTTAATGGCTCAAGCACCACAGTTAACAAGTTCTGAAGAGAGAACCATTCAAACTCTATTATACACAAGTACTGAATATTAGCACTACACCTTGGCCATACAAAATTAATTCTTGAATAGTATGCAAGTTAGTGAGAGTAAGGTAGGAATTTCTAGTGTTGTCATGCATCTACTCCTGTAATTTCTGGAACTGGTGAAATATCTCATACATTATGAAAAAATCTGCTAATTTAGATAACATTCCAGTAAGAATAGTTTGTTCATGCTGTAGATAAGAGATCTTTTTAGCACCCAGGATTTCTTTGCCTTGGCTGATTTTTTTTTTGCACTCATGGTGTGCCACTGGATCTGAGACTAAGCATCTGGACTGAGGGTCTGACCAACACACATCTGGGTATCCTTCTGGCCTCTACACACAAGCTTACTTCCCATGAAGAACTGAGTGAGGGCAACGCTCGGTGGTCAGCTGAGCTTCTTAGTCTGCCATGGAGTTCATATAAGCCCAGAACAAATAGCTCTATAAAAGGTATCAGCTTACCTCTTAAAGCACCCCATACTTCATCTGCTTTCAGTATAGCCACAGGCTCAGTTACAGTTAAATGATCTAAAGAAGAAAAAATAAAATCTCAAGAAAGCATAGATTGACAGGACAATGCTCAGAGGCACTAAAGAGATTCTTCATGTTCTTTATCTCCTTTTGTTTTTTTTAAATTCTAACCAATGCTGTTTTAAATAGTGATACTATGCAGCTATTTTTCACTTATATGCTCCTGAAATAATGCAAGCTCCTAGTCAGAAAGTCATCAGTTAATCAGTAAGATGATAAAACAAATATAGTGCTTAATAATGGCCACGTTAAATATTGCATATGGGCCAGAATTTCAGCCAAGTTTGACCCAGCTGATATAAAACATATCAGACGATTTTGCTGAATTTAAGTCCCAGACAATAAGGGTTGGTTACTAAGCCAGACCCAACTGCAGAAGTTTACTTCTCCTTTTACCTTCATGTTAGATAGACTACACTTACATATTTTTTTTCTACATATAGCTTGCCAAGGACTGTAGTTAAGTGCTTATTATAAATATCTAATTGCAAAGGAAAAAAACATAAAACCAGACCCCACCACTTAATGAACACATATAAGAAAATACTCTATCTATAAATCTATAGATTTATATTATTAATTAAACATCAAAGCAATAATAAACTGACTAGAGTTGCACACTTGAAGCAGCAGAGGAAAAAAAAATCAGAGGGATATATTGCTGCATAATGATTTGTCGAATCTGCCTCAGAATGAAAGAACAGTTCATTATACATTATATATTTCAAACTTTTGACTAAATTACCAGAGAAAATCTATTCAGGGACACAAAGAAAGTACCTCAAGCTTCCATTTTAATCAAAACATGAATTGCATACACTGGAAGCTCTCAGTAAGAAAGAATTTAGAAGACTACTGCAATCCCCACGGGTCTTTTTGTGTTAAATTGTAGTTCACTCACAGACTTACTTCCAAGACAGCTGGCTTTTTTCTGAACTTATATCATACCTTAAATTAATGAAGAACAAGAAGGTTTTTTTATGGCTATCTGAAACCTTTTACACAAGCAGGCAAGAAGCCAGTGGGGAGAAGCGCAGATAACTTGTACTTTGATTACATATCCAATATTCTTGTTATAGGACAGTCACTGACTGATCTGTACTATCTCTTTTAAGAAAAGGAGCCAAACTGCTCAATTCACAAGTGACTAATAACTGCATACTTAAGCATTCATTCCTGAACAAGCTATCTCACTAAAAACACTAAATTAAACTCTGCAGAAGTCTGGAGAGCTCAGCTTACTACAGAGAAAACTCCTTTCCTACAGCAGAAGGAAAAACTCTGACTGTTCTGAAGAGTAAAACGCAAAAATGACAGATCTAAGAGATTCCCTGACAGAAGAGAAGAACCAGCTAGAGTTAAAATCTGAAAATCACAAACCAGTTCAATGTTCAACCAATAATAAAGCAGCATAACCACCTGACTGTGGCAGAAAACAAATCTAAAGCATCAGCAGTTTTGCTGCTATACTTCATTTGCATTGAAATTTATGATAAACTTGCATGCAAAAATTGCACTGCTTAGCTAAATGTACCAAAAAGATTGAGTAAACCTAAAGCCAGTACATTCTATCACAAGTCAGGTGGAATTAATCCTGCTGCAGATGTACAACTTAGGATTAAAAGGATCTTTTTCTAAGGATTTCTATCCTGGATACTGAACAACTGCCTTGCCTAGTACAGAAGATTATCTCAAGACAGATCTAGATTAATTAAATATGTTGACCTCTGTGCTAACCTGCCCAAAGAGCAATACTACTAACTCGTCTTTCTTTCTGTCAAGAAGCTTCTTTGATGATTAGAACTTGATTTTAGAGTACTTCTCCACTCTGTACTTGAAGCATAGTGGAACAAACCCAATATAACCATCATGTTTTAAAATCTTTTCTTGCATCTACTGATAGAAAGTGGATCTATAACTCTGCAAGACGAATAACAAGAAGTTCAGTTAATGCTTTTCTAGTTTTCCTGGATAAGCAAAAATACCATGTATATCAGCCAGTATAGGTAGCTTCAATTCAAACAGTTATTTCCAAGGAAAGCAGACGAATAAGCAAGGCCAGCCTTCACTCAACACCCTGTACTGAAAGACAGAATGATCTCTTGACTATACGCAGATGCCACCACGCATAATTGGGTAACACAGCATAATACCTTTGATTCTTATTACCAGATACTACACAGGATAGCAGCAGGTAAATGCGTCGAATGCTAGCTAAACTGCAGAAATCACAGGTTACACTTCTAATAAACTCCATGATTCACTGTGGCATTAAGGGCATGAATTATCTTCTGGTCACCACTCCTGCGAAAACTTTTTGAGTGCCTCTGAGAGCCGCTGATTTCCAGTTCCTCAAAACACCCCTGCTTT